TCTCCCCAAAACCCCAAAACCCCACATTACTCAAATCTATCACTTCAAGTAATATTATAATGTAAATAAATTAAAGCAACTCTATGGGTATGTGTATTAGTAGGACTTAATCTTAATTAGAATAAAAAAGTGAATACCAAAAATGTGTTGTCGCCTTAGTAAGGCATGGATAGAGAGCAGACTATGCTATAGATGAGAGCATAGTATATGATATAAGTCATGATCCACCTTTAACTAGAGAAGGTATGTGGCAAGCAAAGTTAACTGGTGAAGCATTAAAGAAGTAATTCTTAGAAGGTGGGTTTGAGAAAGTCATTATTGAATCATCTCCATTCTTGAGATGTATAATGACAGCCGCTTAGATTTGTAAAGAATTTTAGATAGATTAATTTGATATAAACTATATCTTCAGTGAGAAGCTTACTCCTAATATTTACACTTACAATCCAATAGATGACCTATGTATAAAGAAAAAGGACAAGAAGGACATTATTTAAATGTACTTAGATGGAGTAGATTTCAATGACTCTAAATTATTTCACAGTGAAATATAATAATGGTACCCCGAAAATACTAAAAAAGCTGTTTAAAGAACTAAACTTTTCAATGATTAATTCATAAAAGAATATAAGAACTCAACTAAGAAAGTAATGCATATTGTTACTACTCATGGAGCATTTGTTACTGGATTCGGAGAATTGTATTACGCTAATAATAGAGCATTTAACTTTTGCTCAATTACTGCTATAGAATTTTAAGGAGATTAAACCTCACTATTATTGGATTGTTATAGTTAGCATATTAGGTTAAGCGATGGGAAAACTATGTATGATTCTAATGGAAAGTTTTTCAATCATTTTAGTGATTATTGAAAACAAATCTTTTTTAATTTTATCAGGCATTATTTATAATTAAAATGGGTAATAATTATACATTTTTTATTTCATAAAATCTGAAATTCTGTTATCTGACAAAAATCTCTGTATCATGGGGTTTTGGGGTTTTGGGGGTTTTGGGG